ACTGCATGAACTGCTGTGGGAAACTAGGAATCATTAAACCATTAAACTAAAAAAAGGTTATATTTATTTATATACATACATACAAGTATGTACGAATGACTCCTTGTAGAAAAAAAAAAAGTCAAACTCTGAAAGTGTCTATAATTCAGGAAGTTGAACACGAAGTTTATCTTTCTTCCTATGTTCCTAATCTACACAAATATCTCTCGGTCCATGGTTAGGTTTTTTTAATAATTATTAAGAGCTAAAAAAATTGGGAGTGAACAAGATGGTTAGAGGGGTAGCTAAAGAAATATTGACAAAAGCTGTATTTTACAGGTTTCAAAATAAAAGTTTGCTCCTTTCTGACAAAAACTCAATGGGACAACTTCCTTGAACTCAGAAGATTTGAGGCAGGGGAGTAGGGGTGGTGGCTGATTTTCATTGATTTCTTCTTTCAAGCATTCTGTGAGCAACCCACCTGTTCCAAGTGCTATGGTCTGTAAGATTCATTGGTCAAGGATACAAACCATAAGAGACTCAATCTCAGGAAATAAACTGAGGGTTGCTGGGGAAGGGGGGGATAGGGTACCTGGGTTATGGACATTGGGGAGAATATGTGCTGGTGAGTGCTGTGAATTGTGTAAGACTGATGATTCACAGACCTACACCCAAGAAGCAAATAATACATTATATGTTAATTTAAAAAAAAAAAAGATAACAAAGGCCCTCTCATCTGCCTTCTTCCATTTAGTGACAAGCACAAGTAAGTAATCTAGCAATGACCACTCAAGGCTGTGGTGAAGAAATAGAGGGCTCATTGTGGGAAGACAGGAGGGATGCTTCACCCAATCTGAGTCAGGAATGAGGTCAGGGTGGGGTTAGGGATGAGGGTGGTAAATGACAGGATAATCTTCCTGGAAAAAGTGAGAAAACAGCCGGACAAGCTGAAACCTAAAGGGAGAAAAGGGCTGACCACATGAAGGGTTGGAAAAAGAATATTCCATGTAGAAAAAATTGTGTGTTAAATACCTGGGAGTAAACAAGCATGGTATCTTTCAGGAACCAAATGTTGTTTGATCTGACTAGATGATACAATAAAAAGGGATAGGACATATGACTAAAAATGTAACCAGGGGCCAATCATGAATGGTGTATTAATTCATATTGAGAAGTTTGAATTTTTTCTTGAGGGCAGTGAAATTAATCAGGGAATATTATACTAATGTTTGCAATTTAGGGAGAAAAAAACTTCTTATTGTAGTGTGATGAATGAATGACAGTGAGCCTGAGGAAAATAAGGCTAGAAGGCAAAGAAATTCATTGTATTGCACTTGCAGAATTCAGACCAAAAAAAGAAATGCTTATGGCTGATGGGAGTAGGATTTGGGAATAATGAATGAATCTGAGAGAGATTTAAAAGGCATAAACCCCAGAGTTTGGGAACCTTTTTACATAGGAGAAGTAAAGGAGAGAGAGAGCAGTCAAGGAAGATAACTTTCCTCTTTTACCTGGGCAACTGTTTGCATGATGATGCCATTCCCTGAGATAGTGAACAAGACTACAAGTGTTCTGTGGGAAGGAAGATGATGATTTCTGTTCTGAGTATGTTGAATCTTGAGTATCTGTGAGGTATCTGACAAAAATGTAGAAGAGTCGATTGGAAAATAGGGGTAAAAGTCATGAAAAAAATCTGGGCTGCAGATACTGATTTGGGAGTTATCAATAATATAACCTTAACTTATAAAGCTAGAGAATAGATGAGGTCATTCACAGTGAATTATGAAGGAAGAGGACAGTGATCAACGTTTCAGAAATATAGATATTTAAGGAATAGGTCAAAGTAAGTCTAAAAGTTAAACTGGGAAAGCTGGCCAGAGGGGTAAGACAAAATAAACAGTCAAATTTGGCATCTTAGAAACCAAGAAAAGAAAGGACTAGAAGAAGGAAGACGTAGTCAACAGAGTCAAATACTTCAGAGGAAAATTAGATAATAACAAAATTGCTCACAGGACCTAGAAACAATATGGTTCAAATTGATGAGCTTCCTGAAAGCAGTTTCTTGGGAGGTTAAGGAGAGATCCAGATTGCACCAAAGGCTGAAGTGTGAATGGAAGATGTGACTTGGAACAATTCCTTCAAGAAATTTAGAAACAAAGAGTTTGAAAGTAAGAGGATAACATGGAAGTTAGGGAAGGATTTATTTCTAGAACAAATGACTGCATCAGATATAAATGTTGTAGGAATAAACTCGTACAAAGTATAAGGATGTAGAAGATAGACAATGGAATGAAAATATTGACCCAGAGGAGGGTGAAATATAATGTCTCCATGAGTAAATTTCTGACTGTTGAACACAAACACTGAATCTCTAGTATCTGAGATCCAGGACCTAGGTATATTGTCCTTAATTAAAAGAAACAATATGGTTTCACATGGAGTGTATAGCCTTGCATTCAGTTATTCTGTTTTATTCTTAATTTTATCATCACCTGTGTATGTAACACTGAACAAGTGGTTCAACTTGCATGACACACAAAAGGAAAGTCCTTAGATATATATTCCTTTTATAAAAAGAGGTAATTATGAGTAAATTTTATCATACATAATAATTCATTGGGAACTTGAACACCAGAGATCCTTTCTGTTTTGCAAATTTGCATATTTTCATATTAGAAATACAAAGTCTCCCCCTCTACACATTTTTTTAAGTCCAAACACATCTGTATTTCTCCTTTGTATTCTGTGGCCTGTCTTGCAATTCAGAATTAACTACAAACTGAGTAATACGAGCTCTTAAAATTATTACATAGTTTCCTGTTGCAGATTTTAGATTATTAAGGAAGATGCCTAAGATGTCTAAATCTTATTCTTGAACACGACCATAGATTCTTAGTTCATTGTAGTTTTTTGGAGATGTTCAGAACACTGGCTTATTTAGCTAGGAATTAAAAATGATGAATATTAAACAACAAAACAACTGGACATTCAGGAGCCCTGAATTCTAAGCCCAGCCATATTTCATGATGGGATTGCCCTTGACAAGCCATTATTTCTCTGTGTGCCTCATCTTCTTCCTTAAAAAATGGGTATAACTTTTTAGGTCCTCAGTGTAAAAGCCTGGGAGGGTATATTGCAAGTCAGTGTGTGAAAATGAGAAAAAGACCCATAACCCCAGTAGATAAAAGGGAACTAGAAACCCTATAGATAGATACCGCTAAATAACAGGAATCATCCACATTCCATTTCTGCCATTGGGTTTGATTTAGAATTACTGGTTTCTACCCACAAGCTCTGTAAGATGTCATTGTAAGAGAAATGTTACTGTCAAGAGTCCTTCTCTCACTTCTTCCTCCACTTTGACCTGGTCAGTTGCCCAAGTACCATCCGTGTCTCCTAACGGAGATCTTCAGGGATCACATGGTTGTCAGACAGCTGTCTCTACAGGCAAAAAAATGTTCCCATGTTACTTGTCACTACAGGGCAGAAAGAATGAGAAAAAAAAAAAAAAAGTCTTTTATTATTGAACTCCTTTATGCTGTCTTGTTCACCTCTCTCCCCCTGATACATACTTGCTCAGGAACAGCTTAAGCAACTAAGATTTAAAACCAAAACAAAAGAAAAAAAGGAAAATCACAGTCAAACCATAAACTCTGCTATTTGTAATCAGTGCATAACCTCTGTGATGAAATTTGTGAGTAATTCACTTTCCACTTAAGCCTACCAATATGAGACCTAATGTTGCCACCCTGAACACTAATGAAGGAAGGCAGGCGGCGGTATAGCTAGCCCTCAGGGACTCATTTCTCACACCACCACAAAGTAATTTCCATCATTTTCAGCCATCTGGTATCCTGGATTGTGAAGATGAAGTTTCATTCAAGTATTGCTGAAGAGTGTGGGCCCCGGAGTCTCCTTGGATTTGAATCTCTTTTCTGCCTCTCACGTAGCTTTATCTATACCTCGGATTCCCACCTGTAAATAAATCCTCATAGGATACCATTTCTTTGTAATAAGGAGTTACTGATATAATACTTATAAAGTACTCTACATAGGACCTTACATATAGTAAGTGTCTAAAGTTAGCCCTTATTAAATTGTTAATAATAGTGGCAGTAAAGGGCACCCAGGTGGCTCAGTAGGTTAAGGGACCAACTCTTGGTTTTGGCTCAGATCATGACCTCAGGGTCATAAGATTGAGCCCCACAGGGGGCTTCCTCCTCAGTGGAAAGTCTGCTTGAGATTCTCTCTGCTCCTCCCTCTCCCCCTCTTTCTGTCCCTTTCCCTGTTCGTGCTCTCACTCCCTCTCTCTCAAATAAATAAATAAATAAATATTTTTTAAAATAATAGTAGTGGTTAAAGCATTAGGAGTAATATTATTTTTGTAATGTCTGTGACATAGGCCTTATTAATTCAGTTTTTAGGCTCTAAATTGTGTCATCCAATCTGTCACATAGTACGGTGATATTTAGAGACTTTCTATTAGGATTCCCTGATGGTTGCCTTATGTGGCTAGATTATTAGTAAACAAGTATTACCACATCTTAAGAACACAAATATGCAACTCATACTAAATAACAGTGTTGTTGTTTTTTTTTTTCCCTGACATTTGGAGAAAACATTGGACAATATTCATTTTATATACATAGGAAAATAAATATAAATGCCATGTAGTGATAAGAAAAATTTATTAATATGTATAAATGTGCATGCTCTCTAATATCCAGATAAGGTCTGTTCTAATGAGAAAAGAGCTAAGACACTTTCATTATATTCCTCTGTGAACTTCTACACTACCTGGTCTTATTGGAGAGATTGTCCTTATAGTAAGACCCATGCTTTTCATCTGCCAAGTCTGTAAGGGTGTCTTAAAGCAGCCTGGCTTCTTAACACAAAACTTCAAATGGTTTAAGTCATAAAAGCATTTAGCTCAGATTTGCTATTTCCAATGGCATGGACCAATGCTGGAAAGCTGGTTTTACGGGCATGGCTACATGTTCCATTTGCTTTTGTCTTTACAGTTCCACCAAAGATCTCCAACATCTCTTCGGATGTCACTGTGAATGAGGGCAGCAATGTAACCCTGGTCTGCATGGCCAATGGCCGTCCTGAACCTGTGATCACCTGGAGACACCTTACGCCAACTGGTAAGCAACCATCTACTCTTCAAAATACTACATATCATTTAGGATATCCTCATGCTTCTGAGATTCCATTGGATCAGAAAGACAAGCATGTATTTGGTTATTAAAACACTAATACAACTGCAACTTAAGACTTACTTTGGTCCTCCCTGGTCTTTGCCAATGTGTTCATCTTATAAAATGCACAACCATTTCTTACTTCATTTTCAATAGAACATCACCTCCAGGCGACAAATATAGAAGAGTTAAATGCATTAAATGACCTAGTATTATGTCTAAAATCTATGACAGTTTTGTGCTTGAGCAAATCTTGGGGCAATATGTTAAATGAATTAAATTTACCTAGCTCTTTGTGTTTGTTTGTTTGTTTTGCTTTGCTTTTTAACTATAGTTTCCTAATATGTCACACCTTGTGAAGAAACTTTCAGGAATAATGCAAAATTGTTAGTGACTTCTAATGTCTTGTCCTTGGCATCTGGCTCTGTTGGGGGGGTGGGGCATCAGGCATGGACTAAGCTGCATGAGCTCATGTTGGGTCCTTAACTATTGATGCAGATTCAGTAAAAGTCAGAAAAACTTTTTCCAGAAAGGTCTTCTGCATCCTGCCCTCTCCCTTCTCAGCACTGTCACCATAACTGAATTCTCAGGCCCTGATGCTTTTTGAACTTCACTTAAATATTCTATCAAATTACTTGGGCCAATTTCCTACATACTCACCTGCTCTACAGATTACATTTTCTTATATGCAACACCATGCTTTTACAAATGACACAATCTTTGTAGAAAATGGCCTGCTATTTATTTGATTTCTCAGAAAGAGGGGCTATGGATCAATTACTCTTATAAAATGTAATTTATTTTGGTAGATAGCCCTCAATTTTTAATTGATTTATATCTAATATTATCTTAAAATTATATAGTATTTAGAGATTTGGTTAACACCATATTGTCAATTTGGAATGAACACCATACAAAATTGTTGTGCAAAGTGAGACATACATGGAAGCTATCCTGGGGTATTTCTAAAAAGCCAGGGTAGTGTTTTCTTAAAGCATCTTTAAAATCTGTATTTCATGGTTGAGAATAGGGGCCTTCAGGTCATGCTAGCTCTCAAATTAATTGTTCAGTTGATTTTGGACCAGCCTATGGAATGGTCTCTCATTTTGGCCACTACTCTTATTAAAGCATTCTACTTTCTTAAGAGAGTGTCACTCAGAACCCATCCTAATTGTTAATTCATGCAACTTGTCATTTATTGACAGTATATAAAAGCAATAAATGAGGAACTTATTTAGAAGATTAACCTCAAATTCATTTCCTCTCAGAGCCATTTTATACTTCACATGGAAAAAAATGCATATGGAAGGCTGTCTGAAGTGGACTCTCTGGATATCACACACCTTTCCCATGGGTTAAATTAAACATCCAGCACACATTCTGCCTGGATGGAATTATATTATCCCCCAATCCCATACCACCTATTCCTTTCCAGTGTAGGATCGTTTTTACTGAATGACTATTTGGTATAAAAGCTATGGGCCCATATTTAAAGATGTTATAAAAATATCTTTTAAAATCATTTCATTTACTATAATGTTTTGAGAGATTATTAATTTTATTCCAGTTTCCTTTTGAAAATGCCCTTTGAGGAAATTCCCCTTTGTTTTCAATATTTCTAGTGCCCTTTTTTACTCAGTGGTTTGTTTTTTATGCATAAACTCAGTGAATTTTTACAAATGATTATGAGTCCATGGAATTGACTATTACTAACCTTAGAGCCAAATTTATTGCCCATTTATAAAAGAATATAGGAAATCATTTATAAAGCACATGTTAATAAAATGGATTTTAAACAAAACCTGGGATTTTATGGCATCAAATTCATAAAGAGACTATGCTCTTGCTTTCCTCTTGTTTTCTTACCATTATTTTTTATATTGTCTCACCTTTTCTAATTAATTTAAACATCTATATAAATATATCATAACCTCTTATTTCTTTTTGTGGAGCAAGTGGAGAGAGAAGAAGGGAAGAAGGGAGAAAGATAGATTATATTCAACTTATAAATAAGGAATGAATTAAATTAATAAAAAGACTTTCTCTTGGTATACTCACCAATACTATTAACTATTAAGCAGTTGGGTTTTTAAAAATTTTTATTATTATTTTTTTTATTTTCAGGGGAAAATGTTATTCATGACCTGAACCCAAAGATACATGCTTTTTATCCTTTGGGTTCAGAAAAATAATGAGATAGAATCAGAGTTTCAAGAGTTTTCCAGGCTGGACTCTGGAAGAGTACATCTTCACAGCTAACTCTAGTAAACTCTTTAATAATAGTGAATATCTGATTTGAATCCTGACTAACCTGGTATCCATGGTGTTTTGAAGTCAGCAATAGACCATATCTTCCAGAATAAAGGTAACATTTACATACATTCAGAGAATGTTGGACACTTCAAAATCAACTTGAAAAATCAGTGTACTCAGAGGGATTTCCAATAGTAAGGCCAGGGTTCTGCAAACTACAGTGTGTGGGCCAAATCCTGCTTGTCCCACTTTTGTACTGCATATAAGCTAAAAGTGATTTCTAAATGACTGTGTGGTTGGAAAATATCAAAAGAAGAATTTCATTTTTTGACATGCAAAAAATTTAACATTCATATTTGAGGGTCCGTAAATAAAGTTTTATTGAAACATAAATATACTTATTTTTGTGTTGTCTATGGGTGCTTTTGTTCTAAAACAGGAGAGTTTAGTAGTTAAAATGAAGATGTCTTGGCTCACAAGGCCTAAAATATTTTGTATCTGGCCCCTTAAAAAAGTTTGCAGACCGTTGCTCAAGACTATGGCTTGGGGCACAAGCAAGGATTTTCTGCACTCACCTATGACCCCATGAGGCTCTGAGGATAGTGTCCCTTAAGTTCCTAAATACATCTCAAGGGAAATAACTTTATTCTTCTATCTTCCTTTATCTAGGCCCTCACTGTAGGTCAAATTCTATTCTGTCACATGCAAAACTAGCTCCATGCTGCATTCACAAACTCAAGGGCAAACTCCAATTTCCCCTCCAAATGTTATTAATTCCCAGGCCCACTCTTTCATCTCTTTCACATCTGACCTAAATAACCACCTGATCATAATCACATTCCTGGTAACAGGAAAGAAAATTTGCCTTTACTGTTCTATAAGGGAAACTAGGTTTATCGTGGGGGTTTTGAGGTTTTTTTTTTTTTTTTTGGTTTTACGTGGGTTTTTTCCCTTCTTTTCCAAATTTGGAAACAGGCAGTGATCCTTTTCAGTCTATAACATGAAACCTTTCTTGGAGGCACTCAAGGAAGAGACTCTGCTCCCGTGTGACAGCAGAACTGCCTGCAAACCATGGCCATGTGAGCAAAAATATCCAGCGAGCTTTGTTCAATTATTAATTGTACCTTCAACAGTATAGAGTGTGACTGCCTTGCCGAGGAAATGTACCTGTAATTAGCTCGACCCCACAGGGGCACTGAGCCATGAAAGGGGGAAGATTCTATGCAGGGTTCACACATACCTGATTACCTGTCATTTGATAACACAAGGGGGAGAAAAGAAAGAGGGTGCAAGGTGTATTTTTATGAGAAGAAGAATATTTATTATCTCTTGATTTAGTTTTTTTTTAAATTTGGTTGTTTCTCTTTATTTCAACAATTGAGATTTATTTTTCAAATATACTCCAAGAGTTTTTAAGGAGGGAAGTTTTAAGAATGGTAAATCTTTTCGTATGTACATACACCTGATTTAGAATGAGGAAAAGAGGTTGGTGAATTCCATGGTTTCTTTTCTTATATTTCTGATTTCTTAATTTTTCTCTTCTCTCCGGTTATTCTGCATAATCAAAATGATATGTCACGTATGTCGTTGTTAAATGTGACCTATTTTCTCCCTTAATTAAGTTAGACTTTCATAATCCTGTAACTCCCAGAGGGCAATTGCACCGTAACATGTATTTTCTATGGAGTGTTTGATCTCCCTTCTGTGAGCAATGCTGTTCCCATCTTCATTTAACTTTGTTTCTCCATCTTTCTTTTCACATTCCAGAGGAAGTCCCTTTCTCAATTGTGCCTCACGTGGTATCAGGATTGCCCAGGGTTACAGAAGGAGTTTCTATGCATTTCATTTCTACAAAGGTTTTTTGCATCGTCAGTAGCTTTCTATAACCGAAAATCTCAGGCACAGTGAGGACTTAGCCCTGTAGGCTGAGAACAACTTAGGAGGTACTGTAAAATTCTCTTGTCCAGAGAAAAAGCTAGATTTGACATCAATATGGAATATAAAAATATCGCTTGAGAAATATTTTGTGTTTTAATAGGGTAGGTGGGAAAACATTGTTCTGGAAGGAGCTAAGAGGACTGCAGGGTGTTTGGAATCCCATTTCTCGTTGGATGTTGGGTTTTAATCATTTGGTCGGAGTTTCCCTTTCAGTTCTTTTCCAAATTTGAATCCTTGCCTGATGATACTCTTGAATTCCATGAATGCTCTAGCCCTTTCTGTTTTTCTTCTAATATTATAGACTAACCAATCATTAATATATATAGCGTAGACTCTATCCTCACCAGTTCGGGAAAAATATATAATGTTAAATGAAACTCATTTCTTTAAGTTGATTTCCAGAGGTATGTGTTGCAAGTAACTAATATCAGCTCTTTTTAGTTAGAATGTTAGAATTAGTATGACTTTGTATTTCACACAGAGAACATATGATCTGCAGTTCAAGCTTGAGGATATTCTTTCTCTAGGGTTTTCTTGTATGGACATTCCAGAAGGTTCTTTGAGTTAATCTTTGTCATATATAGATGTGGAAGACTCAAACTGGTGACTTCACAAGTAAAGGCTCTTGACCATATAGTAATAATTTAAGTGAGAATAATGATTCAACCTTTTATGTTGATTGCTTTCATTTGTTTTTTGCATCTGAGAAAAATTCCATTTTCCCTTTACAAAAATCAGAAAAATAAATAAAAAAT